GAAAAATCAACTAATTCCAAAAATTACCAAAATTTATAGAATTGTAGATCTCAATGAGGGGATAAATTTTCATACCTGGGCCAAAGTCCAATTATGCCGGGAAGTGGCCTGAAAACTTCTTGATTCGCCGAAAACCCTAGAAATGGGTGTCCTCGATTCGATGCCAAAACGAACTCTAACGCTTCAACCAATGCATGGGCTTTGTTCCTGAGGTTGAGAGAAGTTTAATGGTGGTGGTAGTTGACAAAATTTGCTTCAGGAATGGCGGATCGCCGCCACGGGACCCTCAGCGCACCCGTCGCCGTTCTTCGCCAAATTGAGTGAAAACTCATCAAGTTTTGAGTGTAAAATCAAGAAGAAGGGTCATGGAGTTGATTCTAAGAGGTGTCCCAGCATAATTCGTCGAAAATTGGCCAGAAAACCATCGGATTTCATGGTTTCCGGCCGGGTCGGGTCGCAAGGAAGATGGGTTAGGGGTGATTTCGTGCTTCTCTCCCCTCTCTCTCGTCCCATCTTTTCCCCTTTTCTGATTAGGCCGTTTCCCCCTTATTTCCCTCATTTCCCTCATTTCTCTCTTCTGTCTCCAATCACAACCACACACGTGGCACATATCAACTCTCCAACAGATATGGAGCCTTCCAGATTAATAATTAAATTACCATTTTGCCCCTAACTTCGTTTGTTAATAACTCCAAATTACAAACCGTTTGCTGCCACGCGTTTCTATTGACATGTACTATCCAAATATGTAAAGAAATTTGAAAAATTATGAAAGGATCAAATACATCCTCGAAAATTCTTTTTTGTTCATTAAGGGCATTTTCATCATTTTACTTATCGAGAAATTTATACGCCGCAACTACAAACGCATCAAAACTACGAATACGAATATGACATACGAAATGCGTAATTTTAAATAGTGAAATCCAAGGACGGGATTTCACAACTCCACCCCATTCATCCTTTTTTTTTTTTTACTATTAGGAAGAGAAGAGAAAGCTCGAAATTATTATAATAATTTAGAGGAGGAGGGGATTTTGAACTCTGAACGCATGCGTAGAAACCCAACAGCCTATCTGCTACAATATTGGGCCATTCATGATCATCATGTATCATTTGTTACATATAATGCATAGACTTAAATTTATGTCATGTACTCATGCATGCATTCTCATATATCTTATTCAAAAACAACTATGCCATTTGTACCATATTCTCTATCTATATTGATGACCAGTTGGCGAATAAATGTAAGCCATGTCTACGTCTGTGGGAGCAACATATATAGAAAAAATGTGTTCATTAATAGATAGAAAAACTAATAAAAATGGTTTGAAAATATTGAGTTTTAACGATAAGAACAAAATAAAAGATAAAATAAATAGTACCAAAATTGACTTTTTAGTGTAAAAATATGATTTTTCGTTAAAGTAAATTGCAACGGAAACTTTTCGTTAAAGTTCCCATAAATAAATATGATTCTAGTTCCTATAGTTTGAGCAAAATTTCACTTTCAGTTGTAGTTTCAATTCTCGGGATTTCAATCTTTATAGTTTATTAATTGTTGTTGTTTGAGGACAATACCTTAATTGTGGTTTTGTTGGTCGCTACTAGTTATGTGACATATGTAAAGGTGGGTTGGTGTTTTTTATTTTCTTTTCGCAATCTCTAATTTTGACTTTTCAATGTCGTAACACAACGCACACGCTTCTCAATTCGCTAACTTCTTACAAAAAAAACTCTAAGAAAATCATTGTCCTTCAATCACACAATTATTAAACTACAAACCTAAATCACAACATTTTTTTTTTTTAACAAACAATACACCAAACGGACTAGCAATAATATGGTTCAAATTCGTCATTGACGATAATCCAACCTAAAACATTTCATTTACAAGTGAAGGTTGCAACAATTAAAGATCAATGTGAAACTTTACTTAAACTACAGTAATTAAATCATACTTATTGACCCATAAAGTGAAACGAAAATCTCAGTCTGCCAAAAAATAAAGCGGGCCGGTCCAATCCAATAATTCAACCCATTACAATTTTCTGTTTTGTATAGGTGCACCACACGGCACTTCTCACAAAACTACTGGCTCACAAATCCTTTCAAACACTGGATAAGCCCTTCCTTTCGTGGACCTCTTTCTCTCCCACACTTCTCACCAACAATTAATATATAAATTAAAATTCTAAAACCCACGAAATCTTCTCTCCCACTCCACCATGCTCAAAATTTTCCCGGAAAATTTTCAACGCTAAATTCTCTCTCTCCCCCTCCAATGGCGGCTGTTGCTGCTCTGTCTTTCTCGGCACTCAGTCAATTCTCTGATAGAAAATCGGTCGTCTCGTCCACTCGGAATTTGGCTTCCAACGCCGATGGCCTTCGATTCCGTACGAGCATTTCCAGCCATAACGGTGGAATTCGAGCTTCCAGTTCGAGCTCTCGCATGGTGGTTCATTGCATGGCAGGGTCGTCAGGTGGGTTTTTCTTGGTTACTTGTTTGGTGCCATTTAATCGTTTAAATTTGCTACATTTTCTCAGGAACTTGACTGGAGCTTTATTTTATATGTTTGCTGCCAAAGCTTGATTTATTTTTAAAAATATTGTGCATTGAACAATGTTTAAAGTATAATTAAGTTCGATCTAATTATATTTAATGCACTTTCTTTCTTTCCAAGTTATGGTCGTTTTTGTTTTTTGACGAACAACAAGATAATTACACTAAATTCATTTAACTACGAGCCGGTATTTGAACATGGATGCAGAGGGTGGAGTATGGCTAAACCTTTGTCTGCAAATTATGGTCTTTTTTGTTAAAAGTAGGAATTTTGACTTACAGATATGGAAATGAAGGATTTTCACTAATCATTTTGTGTAATCATGTGAAATAAGACTAATGGGTCCTTAATGAAGCTAACTATATTGCTAAATGTTCATATTCTTCAGCTGCTCAGCACCGGTTTTCCGTTTTATTTTCTTTATGTTTGAGTTGAATCAGAGTTTTTATTAGTCAAAGTTTTGTGCTTAGCATTTTTGGTCATTATGTGGTATGATTACTTGATTTGCAGATATTCCGACTGTGGCGGATACTAAGTTGAATTTTTTGAAGGCGTATAAGCGACCAATCCCTAGCGTTTACAACAGTGTCCTGCAGGAGCTGATTGTGCAGCAACATTTGATGAAGTACAAGAGGACATACCGGTATGATCCTGTGTTCGCTCTTGGTTTTGTCACTGTATACGATCAGCTCATGGATGGATACCCCAGCGATGAGGATCGAGTGGCAATCTTCCAAGCGTACGTTAAAGCGTTAAATGAGGACCCAGAGCAATACAGGTTTGTGACTTGTGTTTTCTCTTCTTCAGGGATCCGTTTTCTCTGTCTAGTGCCTTGCGTAACTTTTTCAAATGCAGCAATGTGGTATGTAAATTGAGACTCTGATATTGCAATGATGCAGTCCTTTTTGTGATAACTAAGGAAAATCCCATTAAGAAGATATTTTCTTTTCCAGTCATCAGAATCATACAAACTTCATAGTTCTACATCAGAATTTCCTAGTTTATGGCAGAAGGTTGACTGATAAAATAATGTGCTTAAGATGCTTTAGAAAAAGAAAACGAATCCTAATTTACATATGATCAATCTCTTTCTAATATGTTTGAGAAAGTCTCTATCTTTACTAGATAAGTTTCCATGCTAAGCACTACAGAATTGATGCACAAAAGTTGGAAGAGTGGGCTCGGGCGCAAACTTCCAGTTCATTAGTGGAGTTTCCATCCAGAGAAGGAAAAGTTGAGGCAGCACTGAAGGACATTGCAGAGAGGGCAGCAGGAAAAGAAAGTTTTAGCTACAGTCGTTTCTTTGCTATTGGGCTTTTTCGTCTTCTTGAGGTGGCAAAAGCAACTGAACCAACAGTGTTAGAAAAGGTTAGACTTTCCAGTCCTATGAACATTGCAACTCGATGGATATTCATCCAAGTGATTAGGTTACTGCTAGCTTGTTTGAGTTAATGATTGTTTGGATTAAATTATTGAATGGTCCTGCATGATGGTTGCAATGTTTGAGCATTTACACTTTGGTTTCTGTTCAACAGTTATGTGCAGCCTTAAACATTGACAAAAGAAGTGTGGACCGGGACCTTGATGTGTACCGCAATCTGCTTTCCAAGCTGGTTCAGGCCAAAGAATTGCTAAGGGAATATGTGGCCAGGTAACAAATCCCTCAGGATCACAGCAGTTAATGAATTCATAGCATTACATGTGATAGATAAGATAGACATGATAATAATCCTCAAATCGACTGATTTCGTAATCACAATTCAGACGACATCCACAAATTGACAAATTAACATCAAACCGGTTGATCCCCTATACCATCTAACATTAAATTTCATAGCTCCAGTTCGATTATCTATAGCTTAGTAGGAGTTTATGATTCAAGGACGGATAAGCTTTTGTGCTTACTTTCAATCATATTTGAATGCATTGAATTTGGCTTTCAGGGAGAAGAAGAAAAGAGAGGAACGGGTGGAAACACAGAAGGCCAGTGAAACAGTTGCGAAATGTTTGGGGGACTATAACCACGTTAGCCAGTAATCGAAGTGGTGGCTCCTTCAAAGCTGATCACTCTCCCCGAAGCTGAAGATCCCCAAATCTTTAAGGTTTTTTAGGTAGAGTTGGAGTTTTTACACTTGGGCAAGTACCGTTCATCAGCTTGTACGTTTGCAGTTTTAGTGTATTGCTTGCAGTGGTGATCCAGCAACAGCCTATGTACCGACATATCTTACATGCTTGTTTCTCATCAATTATCTTTAAGTTTTACGTAAAAGAAGTGTATTATAGCTTGTAACTACAATTCTCGATGTGCAAAATTTGGATCGAGTTCCCCATAGTAAAGCTAAATTTCTCATTGTCTCTCTGTCTTTCTCAAGACAACAACAAAAATGGCGTCAGCGCAGTCGCCAATTCTCGATTTAATTCAATGCTATTGGGTTTGAGAATAATTATTTGCATTCATTCACATAAATCAATCCTGCACAGCTAGATAACAGTGGGGTTGCTAAGTAGGAACCCTAGAAAGCAACCCGTCACAATACAATACTGATAGAAAGATCTTCCATGGCTTCCTGCTAGAAATGTTACGAAATTCCAAAAGAAATCTCACTTTCACAAGGGGATTTGGACGGGACTGAGAAACAAATTACTCAATAAGAAGTTAACTGAGGTGCGTAATATCAATCTCTTCCGGGAGCTTAAAGGTGTCTGCTGCACCAAACTTCTTATACTCTGCCGATTCACGAGTTTCTTCATCATCCCAATCCTCTTCCTCATTTCCCTCGCTGCTATGTGACTCAGGATTGTGAACGCCTTTAGACCTGCAGCCATGTCGAGCAAGAATGTTCACCTGGTGAAGGTGAGATATTTCAACCATGATAGTTTCATCATCGACTGGGAGGGGTTGCTTCCAGGGTTCCCCATCGATCCTCATGTACGTATGATCAATTACACCCTTGTGAAACTCAAAGCGAATACGGTGGGCCTATCATTGATAAAAAATATAATAGTGTGTAAATACCCACTGCTGGACGGTACAGTTGATTTATGAACATAAATCCAGCTTCTTGATCAAATACCTGGGCAAGACGAGTCCCATGTCCCTTCGGCGCAAGCAAAACAAGCCCATGCCATGCATCTCGAAATCCAACAACTTCAACAAGACCATCGTCTACATATGCTGGAGCAAAACCTCCCTGTAAAGTCATAATCCACCAAAATATGTTAGATTTGAGAAATACCAATATAAAGAGTATTTCAACTATTTATCTAAAACAAAAGGAGGAAAGGGGGAGTGTAGTGAACTAACATTATGCCTCCTAGCCGGGACTCCCCAAGGATTAAATCCACCAGAAAAGCTAGGCAAATTGAGGATCACAATTGACTTGATACTGGACATAGAAACAGAAAGTTTAATAAGACATAATTGCAAGGGGAAATCAAACGTAAATACATCAAGGTCCGGAGAGAAAACGGGGGGAAACAAGCAGTGCAAAGAAATTTGCATTGAGCAAGCAATGTACTTTGGAGGAATTTGGAGATCTTCCCATTGGCCATGGTTTTTCATGATCTTCACCTTTGCGAACTCCGCTATCGCTATGTTCCTATATCAAGAGAGATAATAAACTTCACATTCAGTAAAGAATGTTTTAGAAAGCGATTCCCTGCTGGACGGGCAACTCTCTAGATGCTCACCATGAAGTAGATTGAGAAGGAGAAGAAGAAAACCAGCCTTGTGAATGGGTAATCTTTGCATAAGTAGCCTGTATTTAGAATTAAAAAGACACAGGAGTAAGCATAGTTTACTGTATATGACACAGATAAAAATGAGCTAGAATACCCTGATCAACAAACAAGCAACCTTTTAGCTTATGTTATTATTATGAATTTGTTACAAGATCAAAATAGTTTTCATTCGTTTACTATGTGATGTCCATTAACACAATTGGGTTTTGCAGAAACTAAATACCTGATTGGTTAACTGATTTTTGAACTTTTCGGGATGCAGCTTTCGCTCGGTATGAAACGCATATGATACTTGAGCATCCATTCCTAAACACAACCACAAACATGTAGAGTTCATTTCAGAAAACACAGTTGAGTGAGAGAAGATATTGATAAACAATTAATCGGCTTATTTTGAATGTACAACGGTGGGACTTAAATGGACTGACAAAAGGAGAGATTTACTAGAATGATTAAGATAGCTTTGCAGATTTATGTTCAAAAATACTTGACAGGACTCCAAGGGAAGAACTCCTACCCATACTGAAGTAGTTCCAAAATCCCCCACGAAAGGTATGGCAGCCTTCCTGCAAAACACCGAAAGTTTGTGCCTATAAAATGTCCCCAAAAGTTTGTATCTAACAAGAAAGAGAAGAGCTTTGAGCTTAACAAAAGTAATGCAATCATTTAAAGTAACATTTTGACATGGAGCTTAGTTTTGCAAAGAAAAAATCAGCCACCAATAGCAAGCGGGCCCAGCTCCTGAAGCTTGACTTAGCAATAGCTGATTCTATCTGTCTGCTAATCCCTGAGACTGGTTCTTTTGGCTAATGAGCCAGATAAGTCAGAACTCTACTATATTGAGAATAGTGATAATTACCACGTTCAGCTCATTTGAATCAGAGACACGGCCAAATGCATGCAAAGAATGTGGTAGGTCAAGAGGCGCAATGGGATCACACGGACCTTCTTTTGGTGTCCTCATCCTCATGAGAATGTGCCAGCTATATCAGAATAAAGAAGGAAAAATAAAACTAGAACTTTTATTTACGGGAAAAATGAGAGGCAGCTGGTTAAAACTACAAATAAAATGCACTAATGACCTAACAAGAAAAAGGGTGAACAAATTAGTCATAATGATTCATCACTCCATCATATGGAAACAGGTAAATCTAAGATATACGAACAATAAAGAGTAGATTTAAAATGATGAGATCTGATCATTTGATACATCTAGAAACAGGGCTGTGAATCTACAGATGGTGAATTTACAAAGTTTAAGATGTGAAAGGAAACAATGATGACTGTCTCACCTGTCTATTTTCATTTCCTTGGCTCTCTTTACTTGGTCCAAAAAATGCTTCACAGATTGAGCATCTGTCCCAGGATTCTTCTTCCCCTGTATATTAGCAAACAGCACGTCATGCATGCACGATTCTAGCAATCAATTGCTGCATTTCTTACTACCATGACAATCACAAATTACATATAACATTTAAACTTCAATGATAAAATGGAGAAGTTTTCTCCTCAATTTACTGATATACACAAATACACACACACACACACACACACACACACACACACATATATATAATATCAATGAAAAAAGAACTACTGATATAAAAATATAACAAACACGTATATACACAGAAGTTACTTGACTCAGATTGTACATGATTTGCCTCGCTTCACAGTTAAGAAAGACAAGGGAAAAAAGTACAAGTCTTAAAAAGAGATGAGAGCAATCAAAGTTGTAACTACCGTCTGCCTGCATAATGTCAAAGCATATTGTAATTTGCATGCAGTACAACTCAACCAGTCTTCCAAATATGAAATATCCATTTTAAGACCACGAAGCCATCAGGACAGGAAATTCCTTACCCATCCAAATGCAAAAGGAAGATTGTTTCCAGTTCCCAGAGGTACTGTTGCTATTGGCGGCGAATGAGATAATCTGAGATCAGAAACAACTCCAAGAAGCCAACCAGCAGTTCCATCACCACCTGCAACCTAGAGGGGCAATTCATGTCAGAAACATGAAAGGGTAACATCACACGAGGTCATGAAAAATAGAAAATTCACACCATTAATGTTGATTTAATTCAACTCACAATGATTCTCAATCTCTCCTGAATCTTTGTAGCGAATTCATCCCCATTGTGCTTGAGCATTTCAAGATTCGCATAGATTCGGCTCAGCACCTTATCAGGAGCCTCTTGCCCCAAATCATAAACCTAAAAATTAGTTAGTTCAAGGTCAGGTTCATAAAAACTTCGAACTAAAACCCAAACGTTATATTCAACCAAATATTCAAAACAAGAAATCTAACAACATTCAACCCTATAGAAAGTACCTGATTTTCGTTTAGAAGGGAACGGTATGTTACAAGAAGATTCCCACCAAGCTGGCCACCGCTTTTGGAGTTGATAAACACTAAAACCGGACACTGCGGTACATCAGCAACATTTTCACTCTTTGATTCAGGCACTAGTACATACTTAGGAATTCTGAAATCCTTCAAGAAATCCTCCCCGAAGTGAGAATTTGCCAGTATGCCTCTTATCTGCATTACAAAAATTATAATCAGTAACCGCGAAAAGAGCAGTTTTCTACAACCAATTTGAATTCGTGTCCTCCCAAAATACAAAATTTCACAAAACTAATCCAATACCATGCAATTTCATTAGTGATTAATCCAAGGAAAAAAGGAATTTTTTTTTCATTGGTAGTGATAAACAAGTTGAAAGATTCAGTCTTTGCAGGATAAACATATATCAAATGGCACAAAAATTTACTCACAGAAAACCCATTTGGAAATACAATCAGAAAAGTGCTGGATATTCAATTTTGGCAAATGAAAAGTACAAAAAAATGGAAAATTTATCTAGTGAGTTGAGTAGAGTGAGCCTCTAACCATGATCCAAATAAGCTAGAAGAAAAGGGTATATAAACTACCCAGAAACTGGATCTGCGGGCGGTAAGTCGATGAAATCTCGGATTTCCAGAAGGCTTTCGGATCGAAAAGGATGAACCCAAAAGTGCAGAGGAAACGCGGAATAGTTGACTGGTTCGTGAGCTCAGAAGATTTTTATTTCGTCGTAGAAAACGCGAAGCGTGACCGCAGCCATTGAAACGTGTTCGAAATTATTGCGGGAGGAAGGGCAGGGAAAGTTTCTTGGATTGGAATTTACCGCTCGATCTTTTATTATCTACATGTCGATTTGAACGAGTGGGGGAAAAGTCCGATAGGGGAATCCTCTGTGCTTCTCCAATCGTTGTGAATGTGACATTGTGATTCATTTGTGGTCTGACGTGTCGGATTGGATTCCACTTGGAATTTTTGGTGGGGCCAATAACTTTGCTCATTTTTCCCACTAAGATTCCCACCCAATACTTGACAAAGTAAGTTACCTTTTGGGTGAACACGTTTATACAGTGTACTACTACCAACGGAATTGTCCACAATTGTATGCGAACGATTCGAATGTCCTAATTTTTAAGTCATATTTCAAATTTTATCATTTAAAAGATTAAATAAATGCGAACACATTTGCACATTCGTGAGTGTAATGTTACAAAAACAAAAAAAACAAAACAAAAGTGATAGCTTGCAATGTCGCATGTTTTGAAGTTTCATCAAGTTATGTTACTTCGTCACTACTCTTCTAAAAATTCTCCCATAGCGCCGTCTAGACGAAACCTAAGCGCTAGATGGCTGGTCACTGTTCTGATTAATGTCTAGGCGTTTGAAAATTAATAAAGAGCGTCTGGACCTATTGAGACACCCGTGCAGACCCACCTAAGTAACAACTCACCTAGAGAGAAAATATATAACTTTCATTTTTCATTTTATTTTTTCAATAAATTGTAAGAGACTTTTTGAATATTTAAATGAACACACATTATATGCTTGTTCTCCATGTTTTCATTATGTTCTAATACTTCATAATATATATGTCATTTTATTTTGTAGTTTATGATAAAATTATATATATATATATATATATATATTAGGTATAAACAGGCACTATTTACACGAAATATAATTTATTTACTTAAACCCGCCTAGTCCACCTAGGCACCCGCCTAACCTTCTAGACGCTAAACCCCAATCCGTCACCTGACTAATGCCTAACATTTTTAAGAACCTTGTTCGTCACTATCTCCATCTGCTCAAACCATCTAATTGATTTGTTACCAGTACGAGTGGCACATAGTGTTTGTTTAGAACCTCTTAATTAGCTAAATGGAGGTAAACATAGCGTGTCAACTAAAAAAATAAAGGAAAACTAATAAAAATAGCTTGAAAACTTTGAGTTATAACTATAAGGACAAAATAAATGGTAAAGTTAATAGTATCGGGATTGATTTTTTAGTGTAAAAATAAGGTTTTCCGTTAAAATAAACAGTAACAAGAGTTTTTCGTTAAAGTTTTCATAAAACAAAGATAAATGCACTCAAGCAAAAAATCAGCGCACGGTGAAGGCGAATGTTGATGAAGGTTCGTGCCAACCAACTTGGTGAAGCTGATGGAGTTGATCCCACTACGCTGGTGGAGTCAAATCAGACATGATGAGGAGGCAATTACCAATGCATTACCTTAACCACGTTTAATATCTGCAATCCAATCCCTCCATCCTTGACTATGAAAGCACTCCCATTACACATATGAAGTTTGAAAGGCATTAAACATACGTGACCTTAAATATAGGGTATATATTTGTACCAACCAAACCACTTCCATAATTTGACTGTCATTTGATTCCCATGACACAATATGAAATCAAGAATTTATGCAATTCATGTTATCTTGGCAAGATGAAACTTGTGTTTATAAATATTTCTACTCTTTTTTTTTTTGGGTGAACAATAACCCTTTATTACTTTGATTTGTAGTATTGTTAGCTAAGCTAGTCTAATGGCTTGCACATTTAAGATCCTAGAGCAATGCAAGGTCTCTCCACCAAAAGATTCAGTTCCCACAACCTCTCTTCCCCTCACATTTTTGGACATACCTTGGCCTGGCTTGCTACAAACCTGTCCAACGACTCTACTTCTATGAATCCCCTCACCCATCTCATCATTTCGTACAAATTCTCCTTCCATCACTTAAACACTCTCTCTCCCACACTCTCCAGCACTTCTTCCCGCTCTCTGGAAACCTCACTTGTCCCCCTCCTCCCTCCATGCCCTATGATAGGATTTTTAGGTATCTGCGCAAAGAGGTTAAAATCACACAAAATACTTGCAAGAGAACAAGGTTATTGTAGTATAATACGGCTCAAGTAAGGTCGTTCTCCGTAGGGATTATTTAAAACAAATTATGAAAAACCAAAATTTTATTTAATTAATTATTTGCAAACAAAGATTGGAAAATGTTGATTTTGAATTTAAAAATAACATAAACGAATTTTAATAAAAGTAATTTAGGGAAAGCAACTAATAACCAATTAAAAAGGAAACAAACCAAAGAGAGAAGGTTTTGAGAAACAAATTTGGAAGGGCACTATGGTTCCACCATCCCCTTAACAATCCTATGTAGATTTACTAATTACTTATGAATTATTCATGCAACTTTGAAGGATAGGTTTTCCTTATGCATATTCTACTTGTGGCATTCAAGCTAGAACGTATATCAAACATGCAATCCGTCTGCGGCATTCAGATCAAATATAAACATGCATGACTCATTATGTTTTGTGAAAACCTTTTGAAAAACTATGCAACCCCTACGACGTGGCATTCGTTGTAGGTGAAATTACAACTATCAATCACTAGAAGCAATACCCAATTCCCTGGTGACATTCCAACTGAATTGCATCCAATTACTTATCTAAACATCATAATTGTTGCGAATCATTAAGACACAAAGACAGTTTAAAACTCAGTGATTAATAATTCAAAGCATGCATGCATAATATCATAAGCAATTAAATAAAAATTACATATTCATACTAAGGCTCATGGTTTTGCCCTAGCAAAAGAAAATTAGCTACGCATACTCATAATTAAAATCAACATAATTGTATTAAAATATAGAAAGGATGAAAACACCTAAAAGTATAAGTCTTGAAATCTCTTAAGCTTTAGCCCCTCAAATCTTGCGTGCCTTCTAGCTATGGCTGGCCAAAAAGGCTTATTTATACTACTCTAATTAAAATCCTCCTAGTAAAAGGTTTTAGAATCAAACTAGGAAACCAACTAAATCGAAATAAAATGGAAAACATAATCCTAAATTGACTTGGTAAATTCACCCAAAAATCTGCACAGCCACGTTTTAGACCCAAATCAGCTCCAAAACTAATCCAAAATAGCTGGATTTAAAGCTTGGACTATTCTGAACACTTCTCTAGAAGGCTACGAACCCATCCAAGATCATCTTAGGCTCCAAAAACGTCACTTTCCAGCAACGCGCATTGCTCTTTTAATAAATCGCCAGAAAATAACCGCTTGGTAGAAAAATCCCAAATTTTGATACGAACAAGCCAAGAGACACACGAACGTCTGCTAATTTGAATTACTCCAAAATTCATCCATTTGATCATATTTCGCTCCAGAAGAAGTCGAATGTCCTATATTAAAAATATAAAGCAAAGTATCAAAATTCTACCAAAATAATTACCAAATTATACTAAGAATAGAGTAAAATATGTAATATAATATTGACTCATCACCTTACATCCACTACGCTGCCAATGAGTCTTCTGTCAAATTCACCATTGTTGAGTCCACTGCCAACTTCACCCATCTTATAGGCAACCAAGCAAGACATATCCAAGAATTCCATCACCTTGTTCCCCATTTGCCCAATTTTAATAATTTGGACTCTTATTCCAATTCCAATGACAACCACATTTGTACTTCCTATTCTTGCATTACAAGCAACAATTTTCCCAAACTCTGGCTTATGCATTTCCATAGCGTATAGCCATGTTGTGGATGGACGGACTGCTAATCATTTCATGAAATGTTGGGCTTCCGTTTAAAAGTCAGGAGGAGACTTATCTTGTATACATGAATCAGTGAATCACCTCCTATCTATGATAGAGATTTGATTAGAACTCCAAAAGATTATGAGCCGATTTTGTTCAATCAATACATCGGTTTTAGATCAACATGGAAAAATCATGGCAAGGGCAAGCCTTCTTCCATTTTCGTATACAATTTTCGTGCAACATTTGTACTAGGAAGAGAAAATATTCAAGCCCTGAAACAGTTTGTCTTGACTCAATGCAAGAATTGCAATGAACGAACCCCAAAGCGGTTGAAAAAATTTGTGGTCACATGTGGTTTTGTGTGGGTATGCTTGATGAAGGCACTAGATGGTAGAGAAACCGCGATGACTTCAATGAAGGGTGATGACCTCTTACGCATAAGGTTTGCAGCAGATATCCGAGGCCTCTTTCAAAGTCCAGTGCCCATCACCTATTTCGGAAACTGCTTGTCAGCATGTTATGTCGCAGAGAAAAAGCGAGAGATAGTGGCGGAGTATGGGATTGTTAAGGCCGTGAAGGCCTTGGAGGGTGCAATGAAAAATGGACATCTTGAAGGGTTAAAGAGGATGGTTCCGTCTCAAGGGAAGTTAGTTGTAGCAGAAAGTGGTGTAGCCATTGCTAGATCGCCAACGTTGGGAGTTTATGGGCTGATTTTGGATGGGGAAGAGTAAAGAAAGTGGAGGTGGTTCACTTTGTTAATTCAACAGTTTTTTCTCTTGCAGTGAGTGGAGATGAGGAGGAGGATGGCATTGAGGTTGGTTTGGCGCTACCAAGGGCTACAATGGATGCATTTACTTCTTTGTTTGAACAAGGTCTGCGAATTTTCTGCTAAAATATGGATGCTTTAATTTCATTTACATTTGAGAGAAATTTTAGTGTGTGACAGAGGTACAAAAAAATAATCAGTCATGCAATATTTCTTGGGGGCATTTGAGCATGATCCTTTTGGATCATCTCCTTGAATGGAGTCTGGTTCTTGGGTTTTGCTTTCTTAGGGTTTTTATATATATATATATGGGGGCTTGGCGCTGTTATGGTGCTGCCGTTAGTGCCTCATGGTGGTTGATGCGACGGTCTTCATAGCAATGGCTGCTAGGATGAGGGTTTTTATGCCTCTTTGTTGGGCTTAATGTTTAGGGTCATTGCCTTATGTTTTCTGGTTTGTTATTTGATAGGCCTAATTGTGGGTTCTATGCTTCTATGACTATTTTAGCACCTCTGGATTCCTTTTTTGTGGACCTTAATACGCTTGAATTGAGGCTTGTTTCTGATGCCTTGACTCTGCATGTTCTTAATGAAATATATTGAAAAATTGGCTAAAATGATTATAATTTAACTCTCAATTTTTGCTTACCAATATTAAATATTGACGATTGAAAGATGAATTCTGGAGTCCATCCAGTTTTTGAGAGAAATATCAAAAAGTTTGTTTGGTTAATGATTGAAAGATGAATTACAAATCGACTTAAAAAGACATAAGCACTACACTGGGGAAGCTCAGGAGCCTTGGGAAATTAAACAACATGAATTTAGATGAAAATTTAAAAAGTCTGAAATTTATTACAAACTTTATTTTGTAGTTTTAGAAGTCTAAATCTTCGGATGGCCTTAACAAAGGGGCCCCCAATATAATCATGAGTCTTGTTCTGCTCGCAATTCTCTTATAAAACGAGCATCCAATTCTGACACCAGAATATTTCTTGCTGCCTTTTTTGTGACCATATTGATTGAATCCAATATTTTCCAACTTTAGCTTTTTTTTTCAAAATTTGAAACATTTTATTTTCTTTACATTTCTCCATCAGATTTGACCCATATCTTGTCTTACATCTGATTCCTCTACTTGAAACGATCTTGATAGCAGTAGACTACAACTCCCTTGTAAAGCAAATAAATTCTTCAACTCGAGAAACCCCAACTTTCAGTATACTTAGGTGAAATAATCACAAAATTAATTCCATAAACAAGATTAAAATATGCCAATCAATAATCAAAATATTTTTCCTTCCCCAATGTTCTTGTTTGGTCAACAATGGAATTTAACTCCAATTTATTAGATTGTTGATTCTTCATAGCCATAACATTTAGAATCACCCATACCTTGAATATTTGAGTCTCCCCTTGTTGAGTTGTCATGTTTTGGGAGATCATTCTCCTACAACAAGATTCTCAACAAGCCAAATTACTTTTCTTTTTCTTCCACCTTGACCTCCACCATTTCTTGGCATGATGAAATATCAGTCTCCATCATTTTAGTTTCTTTTCTAATGATCGCTTTACCCATCATTTGTAAATACAATTTATAGAATTTGAGAAAGAATTATTTAACCCTTAGTTGTTTCAACCAACGCCAAGTTTTGATAGAATTTTTACCTAGTTGTTGCCTAGACCATAACCGCACATCACCATCTAAACAAGAAGCAACCATTTTCACCATCCTCCTTTCCGGAATTTGTTGTGTCTTGAAAGACCCACAAGAGAAAATCTTCAATGGAATCACTTCCCAGGAAAATAGAAATATCTTCAACATCAATAGATGACGTCGATTGTGAGTGAATCTCATACCGTGTTCATCTTCAATATTTCGTACTCCCTTACAAACGTCGGTTGCATATGGTCCAATATCCTAGTGGATAGGGTGTTGAGTTTATACCCATGCATCCCGGGTTTGAAACATCCCCTCTCCTAAATTAATGTAATAGGCTCGAACTCTCCTCCCTCCCCCTTAATAATAGTAAATTAAACATAAAAAAAAAAGTCGCTTAGGGTGTTGCTGATCCCACGATTGATTGCCAATTGACGCAACACGAGTAGAGGGATCCGAAATTTATTCCAAGCTGACTTGTTATACGCTCAATTCTAACAGTAGAATATTTTTTGTCGTCATATCGATTGAACCTAGTATTTCCACTTTAATTCTTCTTTTCTAGAAATTGAAACTTTTTTATTTTTTATTTTTTTTGTCGGCATTGACCTATATCTTGTCCTACATTAATTACCGGTGACATAACAATCAAGTATTCACTAAACGATTTGATATTGAAAGTATGTGAAAACCGAATAATTTCATTGAGACTTGTAAAATAATCATTTTGACCAATTTCTGAAATATTTCGGACAAAAAAAGGCTTCAGATGCTACATGCATAATAAAATACTAAATCTTTGCTCTCTAATATTTGAACTTAGTTAATGTTGTTTGTTCAAAAAAAAAAAAAAAATATATATATATATATATATATTTTAGCTTAATTAGTTTAACCAATTATTAAGACAGAGCCTAGTGAAGGAAAACAAAAAAGAGGTTGGACACAGACCAGCTTCCATTCATTCAGCATGCCACTATGGAAACCAAAAAACAAAAGAAAAAGTCGATAAAAGTGCGACCATATTGAAGCAAATAAAAAAAATAGAAGGAATTATGTGAAAGACAATAATGAGAGATTAAAATACAATCCCATGCATCTCATACATTTTCTTAATCAATTAATAATTTGCAAGGCCCCATATCCCATACATATTATTATATTAATACTCGGATTTTCCCACACCACTGATCCCATGCATTAATATAATCAATTATATATCCATGATCTCACTGTCCACATCATCACAATATATTTGAAGGAACAGCACGGTGGCCAACAAAAAACAAAATTAAAAAGGTTGATCAACACCAGAACAACCACTAACGTCGATCAGTTGCGTGTAATTTTGCCATGCATCGCATACAATTTTGGTACCACAATTCTAATCCACGTGTTTACAAGTGACAACAGCTGAGGCCTCATGAGGGGGGTCAACTCTTCATGCAGATTCTCTGTATATTAGTCTGTAATTATTCAATCCTCAAATTTGTAGTATACAATTGTAGATTTCATACTGTCATACACAGCAACTACTTATAACTAATGTGCATGGATGTATAGAAAATTCAGGGATCGACCTGTGATTCTATTACGTCCACAAAACTTAGATCACATTTTTCATTTAAAAACCCTAAATCGATCATGCCCTCAGAAGATACAAGATAAGGAGAACCAGTTGATATATATTCAAAGTTTGTTGGGAATTTTGGAGGCCACACATCAACAAAAGTTAGCTATCAACGATCATACGATACAATTAATTAACTACCAAATTTTATATAGTAATTTACCAACCCTAGATTTTTGACAAGTAATTACCTAAACTGGTATAATGTGTACGTCTAGTATAAGGCATGCATCAAGTTCATGATCGTAAACTCTTGAAAGCAAATATAGTGACGAAGGACGACTTGGAAAACTTTCCACGACCACAGATATGGATTTATGATACATAGGTATGCATGATCTGGCCAAATTGATGAAACAGTTTCGGGCACGTGTCTACGGCCATAAACGTGTGATTGAAAGCTTGATGGACCTCTAATCTAAATAAAAATTAAATCAAGTGATGGCTAACATGTATGTCTAATAGACACCAAACAGGGGACAAAGATAAAATTATGATTTGCTTAAAATTATTTTATTATAAAGTATGAGCTGAATTGAACTAGCAGCTTCTTCTTTGAAATTCAACAGCTGATATCATATATTTGAAACAAATGATCCTTATATAGTTACATACGAATATTTTAAGGGGTAGAAAAACAGCAGATCGATATTCATATTCTTCTAGATTTTCTCTTTTGGGAAGAAAGAAGAAAGATAGTGAAAATTGCAAAGCAAAGTGAAACAAGCAAGAAAGCTGCAGCAGCATTTTGACCTCTCGATGCAAAATCTTAGTAGATAAATATTATAAGATAGTATTTGACCAATTCGGGTAATGTTAGATAGAGGTGGATGGACTGTAGCACCTGATTTTCAATGACTCATTTGATTTTGCAGATGGAGAGAGAGTACCTTGCCCTTACAATGCTACTGCGCGCAGATGACAGAAACTTTACGCACAGAGGACATTTGTCAGTTTTGAGATGGCTTTGATATGGGTTGACTTTATTGTTGGAAAGTAGGAAGTACACCTTGCTATGTGGCTTCATCGTAATGGTGCGTTTTAGAATACGTTCCAGCTTGGAAAGTTAGCAACGAGGTGTAACATGTGTAAACAAAGACGACACATCATCTTCAACTCATCTTTAACTTTTAATTTCAAGACTTTATTTTCACAAATAATAAGATAACTTGAACTCAATTCATCTATATTACAAGAATTAGAGGGTTTGAAACTAAATACAGTGAGTTGAAGAGGAACACTCTATTCATCCAAATAGATCATCACTTGCGAGTTTTCAAGATTTATCATTTTTTTTGCCAAAACTTTTCTCAATATATGGATTTGTTGTCACCTATAGTCCGTCATATGTAAAAATAGAATGTTGATTTATCATCTAATTGTAAGTATATTATAGCCAACAAGAGCAATAAGTTTCAAATGTAGAGAAATTTTAACAATAAGTTCAAATTTCTTCTACCCGTACGACAAAAATGGCATACATATGTAGATTCCATAGAGAAATAGAGACGAAGAGATACAAATGCATGCATGTTGGTTTTTTCGAGTATAGTGATAGGAGAGTATGGACACAAATTGTTGGAATGTAGTTCTTTTTCTTTCTGTTTTCTTTGGTTAACGAAACACACAAAAAGGTTGGGCTCCAATCAATCAATCTTAAAACATGGCAAACATTACCGTATGTTCCTAAATATGTCAACATACAACTGAAATTTTGTCAATTGTTGTAGGACCAAGTAGAGAAGTTATTTTCAATTATTCATAGTAGATTCCAACCAATCAAGAAATTAACTGCACTTTTAGAAATAAATGACAATGTTTTAAAAGATGGTCAAAATATTCAATATTATCATGAAAAAAAACACAACATCGATCAAAGGTTTCGCTTTCTTCCCTTTCATTTATATAATGTATTTTAACACAACAAATAAAAATGTATTTTGATTAATTAGACATAAATAATTGTGGATCTAGGAGCTAGCATCATTGACCATGCTGATGATAGCCCGACGTAAATAAAGTTAATAAGCTTTGGCTTCCTAGCCTTCATGAGCAAGTAATCTCAGAATCAGAAAGTTGATAGAAAAGGATCAAACACTTAATGAAACACGAAATTGCAAAAAACAGAAGGTCGATCAAGCTTTTCTTGTTGTTGATCAGCAGATCTAACAACCTTACCGTCCTATCCTTTTCATGAGTACTGCTTTAACAAGCTACAAGATTAGGGTTTAATGATGGAGAAAAACAAAAAAAGGTCAACCCCAACAGCGTAGTTTGTAGTATTATCTGCTGTGACTTCTCGGGCACAATTATATCCAAGCATGATTCCCTTAATTTACTTGGGTTCATTCTTTTTTTTTTTTTTCTTTTTCTATTTATTTTTTTAACGTGGGCTTATGATCCATAACTAAATATTATACATATTGCATTCATATTCCCTGTACTGCAGATAAATGGACATGTGTCCTCAGGCCGGCGCCAAATCCCTTTTGACTTCAAAAATGTTTCTGAAACTTCACCCCTTTCCATTATATAAAGGCCTCATCTTTCCCTTTTGATCAGCAACTTAAACTACTTTCTGATTCTAAAGTCACAAAGTACCCTTTTCTATCCTAGTAAGTACTTTTGGAAACTCATCTCTCCACCTCCACATCAAGTTAGATAACAGAATCAGTTGTACCACTGCAAATATGGGAAGAGCTCCTTGCTGTGATAAAAATGGACTCAAGAAAGGTCCATGGACAACCGAAGAAGATGCCATGCTAGTGAATTATATTCAGAAGCATGGACCTGGAAATTGGAGAAACCTTCCAAAGAATGCAGGTATACACAATGTTCATCAAACAGTTTTTTTTTCTTTTGTTAATAATAAACAAACTGTCATCGATGAGATTTGAACTATCAATTTAATTAATGATTTGTTATGGAAAATTGTATAGGACTCCAGAGATGCGGGAAGAGTTGCCGCCTCAGATGGACTAACTACCTGAGACCTGATATAAAGAGAGGAAGGTTCTCCTTTGAAGAAGAAGAGACTATAATCCAACTACATAGCATCCTTGGAAACAAGTAAGCTTATGTTTAATTGAAATTTAATTAACCGTACAAATCGCTAAACAAGTTGTTGAAGTATTTTAGGATTTCTGACCTCCCAAAATCAAAATGATTTGTAATTAATAATTATATTACGTCTTCTGATCAATTTTCTTTTTCCAATAATGTTAGGTGGTCAGCTATTGCTGCTCGCTTGCCAGGAAGGACAGACAATGAAATAAAAAACTACTGGAACACGCACATCCGAAAAAGGCTCCTTCGAATGGGAATTGATCCCGTGACTCATGCTCCACGCATCGATCTTCTTGATCTGTCCTCAATTCTCAGCTCATATGTGTGCAACAACCCAGCTGCTGCACTACTCAATTTGTCAAACTTGTTGAATTGTACCCAGCAGCAACAACCACTTGTTAATCCAGAAATGTTAAGGCTAGCAACAAGTCTGTTATCAATCAAACAAGAAAACCCGGAAATGTGTTCCCAAAATTATAATCTCCATCAAAACCAGATTTCCAATTCTCAGGAACAAAATAATCAAGTTCTCCCACCTTTACAATCCAATGATCAGTTTCAAAATCTTATCCAAGGGGGAGACTTTTCTGCTGACATGGCAAAACATCTGATGCAACAGATCAATGTGAAAGGTTACTCACCAAACATGACCAACTTGAGCTGCCCCCTTTCCCAAGAAAACATAGTCCCTCCGAATTTGAGTGCCGATCATCATCAAACAGCGGTCTCCCAACCAAACTATGTGCCTTGCAGTACTACTTCTGGTAACCCTAGTCCTGATTATCCGGAAAATTCATATTTCCAATCTTTTAACTACAACAAGAACCACGATTTCAGCTTCGATTCAGTTATGTCAACGCCTTATTCAAGCCCGACTCCTTTGAATTCATCAGGTACATACATAAACAGCAGCACAGAGGATGAGAAGGAAAGCTATTGCAGCAGCTGGTTAAAGTTTGAAATCCCAGAGGGTACTTTGGACATCAGTGATATCATCTAAAATCTCTTGGTGGTAGCTCGTAGCTAGGCTTAATAATCTTGTACTTTGTGTTTGTAGTTTTGTTTTTTCTTGTAGTTGATGTTGATACTGAAATTCTTTTTTCATTGTTAATTAATACTACAGTCTTTGTTTTTTGTACGTACTAATTAAAATAGCAGTTTCCTATATATATATTAGATATCGATCAAAAGGTAGGGCTTGCATGCGCATTAATTACTAACTAGGGTTCTTCCATGCACGACGACGAAAGTATAAGCATATATAATGTTATCATTTTCTTTGCCAAACTATAGATAATATTTTTTCAAATTAATCTTATATATAAATGTGTACTTTTTTGAGAGTTCATCTGTTATTATTGGGTACTATTATCTTGTTGGTATCTGTAGTGTGGGCAGTAGGACCATCAATTACAAAGTCAAATGTATTACAGAGAAGCAAATGAGAAAGCACTTTGATTTTCTTGCTTTGAAGATTTCTAAATTCTCATTCGATACTATCTCCAACATCTCTACGTACAGTAGTACTGGATCCACTACAAGAAAAATGAGCATTGCACACAATAAATTATCTGTGCCCTTTGAGGCCAAAAAGCACTGACAATTGTGCTCATAGACCAATAGCAACAATGCAGCTACTATCTCTATGTCTGTGCCCTCTATGGGCGTCATCATTTCTAAAAGGGCACAATAGGGGTGTTTGTGCCAGAGAGGCCAGCACAAATAATGGCCCATTTGTGCCCCGTTCTGACAACTTTTCAAATCAGCTTTTCCAACTATGTTGGCACTTATATTGTAATTGTGCCAACATGAATTAATTAATAAAAAAAATCAAAATTTGAAAAATTGAATCTAAATTGAGGAAATGCAAAAATTTAAATTTTCACGAAATGAAGAATGCCTACAACCATGAAACCAACTTTCACTTTATGAATCTCACAAACATATATTGTTGTGTTACATATTTTCTCTCTAATACCCAAAGAAAAAAAAAACTTGAAAGCAAACATTTTTGGATAGATGCATCTTCCCAGCAGGCCTTGCACCTCATCAAATCTTTGCTGCTCCATAAACGAATTAATCAGATGACATGCAATATATGGACTCTCACAGAAGTCATGAATAACAAATGCAAAGAAAAAGAAAAACCACACACTTTACAGGAGCAAAGAAAATGAAGGGATAAAGAAGGTAAGAAGGGAATACCTTTGTGGGAGGACTCTTATTTGCTTCAAGGGTCTTTCCACCACTTGCTTTAAGATGATTCTTATATAACAACTCCACCCTCCAGAACAACCAACAATGGATGCGGAAAGTATACAAATATTCCTCATCAAAAATAAGTCCACCCTCCATAACAACTGACTGTGCATTACTACATTGTTCAGACTCATCACACTCTGCATAAGATTACATGGCTAATTGCTCAAGGTTCAGATTTGGTGCAGAAATATTATCATCTTCATTTTGATTCTAGTATTCCAACACAAAGACCAGGGTACATTTTGTAACAAACCATAGAAATTGACCAAATGGAATTAATGCTATTAACAGCGACCATGGCCAAAAACTGTTGAAGACCGACATAATCTCTAGCTTGATGCCAGTGAGAAAAGACTCACTCAGCTAACATAGACTACTATATTCATCAGAAGCCAACACAAATATAGTCGAATTCAAAACACAATCAGTCCAAAATTATACCTACACAGAGTTAATTAAAATCAATACCTACAAGTTCCAGATCTGCCATCTCAAAGATTCAAATTCCTCACTTCGGGTTGTAAAAGCAATTTTTGGGTTGGAGATAATACATTCAGCTCATGGTCACCTGACTCACCTGAATCACAGAAATATATAAGTATGTATATTATTTATGGCCAAAGTGAGTTGCTTATTTTAATCACATACCTGGTAAATATTTGTTTAAGTTAGCATAGACAGTATAACGATATTACATTTTCCATGATGAAACTTGTACTAACATGATTAAACATTAGCACCTTAAGAACTTCACATTTGAATACATTTTTTTGTATTTCACTTCTGATTTCATCTCTACCTAGATCCAATTACTAAATCCTCTTCTTTCAATGCTACCACACCATAAAAGAAAAGTCAAAAAACGAATAAATAATTATTGGGGGAGGGGTGGAATCAAGACAACTCCTAATAAATCAATAAAAAAAAACTTACGCTTTTCCAAAAATTGAAGATCCAAAATCCTAAAATTCTAAGCAACATGGCTCCGTAAATATAATAATAGATATGAAATTCTTCCATACAAATAAAGAATACGAACCGGCAATGGGGGCGTGACAAGGCCAGGGCCTTTGAGGTTGCAGAGACAGAGTGAACAAGGCTCTAAACTGCTCCAATATGAGTTGGATCGGGTCGACCAAACCAGTCACCGAGAAACCTCACAGTATGAAATAACCAAAAATCCATCATATTCATATCCAAAATTGCATGCAACGGGCAAGTATGAAAAAAAAATGTAAAATAATTTCAAAACTCAAATCCATAAGCAACAAGGCGAGATACAAAATATACATGTCAGATCTCATAAGATATAAACTCGAAACGAAAAAACACGAACTCAAATATGATGCATGGGTGGTGTTGGTGTTTTTCAAAGAAAAAAAAAACAAAGGAAAAACCCAGATATGAGAGGAGTGAGAGAGAGAGAGAGGTATAGAGAGACCCTAATCCAAAATCCCTAATTCAGAGACCATTTTCAAAAGCTCTGATTCATAACCCATATTCAAAATCACTAACCAGATTCAAAATAAAACAATATCCATGAACTTTGGTTGAGTTTATTGCATGATATTCTTACCTTGTGGAGTGAGGAGGAGTGAGGACTAAGACTGAGAGCTCGATTCGGGCAAGGTGGTGTGGACTGTGGGTGGAATCGCGATTCAGGGGACGAATTCACGAAGTGAAGACTGAGGATTAAGGATTAATATATATGTTTGAGACCAAAGTAATCCATTTGGTAAAGAGAGAAACGGATGGAAGAGAGAAGTGGGTGTGGGTGGGTTAAGGAGGGGAGAGAGAGTGTGTGGTGGGTGGGTTAAGGGAAGGAGGGAGAGAGAGAGAGAGAGAGAGAGAATGGGGTGTGGATTGGTTAAGGGTGTCGGTGGGTTAAAGAGAGGGAGAGAAAGTAAGGTGTGAGTCATAAGTCTTAGAAAAAAATAATAAAAAAAATTAATTGTGTCTTTTGAAGTAATATATAGACACAAATAAATATATTTGAATCCATTGTTTTGAAAAAGTTGAGAGAGAAAATTATTTGTGCCAACTTTGTAGAGAATGAGCACATTAGTTGGTGCCCTTATAGAAGAGGAAACAAATACAATTTTTTGTGTGTAAAATTTGTTCTATACCCACAAAATAATTATTTGTGCCCTTAATTTTGTATCCAAAGCCCTTTTTTTTTGTAGTGATCCTTTATTTTTCCTTTTCTTAGTTTATGTTGATTACCAACTTAATAAAACAAAACCCATTTGTTACATTGTAAGGGAATCATGTTAGCAAATTAAAGAGAGAAATAAGCAAACTAATTGCAAACTTTGAAGTTTATATTATTGGCTAAAAGAAAGAGGAAAACTACATAGAATTGGAAAACTAGTTGATAAAATGAGTAATTATAAAGGAAGCGATCCTAACATTCCAAATCCTACAAAGAATTGGAAAACTAGTAAACAAAGAAACATATAGGGAAATTCTAACTGAACAAACCAAATTTATAACTCCAGATCTAGTAAATAAATCAATTAACTACCAAAAAAACCCCTTATTCCAACCTAATTGTAACTCATTTTTGTACCCGCACTCACCACTTGGGTAGTATTAATTTGTTAAGAATTTACAGTTAAGCCAACGGCTCAGAATTACACTAATATTATCCTAACTTAACCACCTGCAGAACCCGATAGATGTTGGGTTTTATCACAAAATGTCTCAGTGAGTAAAACATTGGATATAAGTTGTAATTTATCTTGTGGTACGGTACTCTATTCTCCGATGGTACTAATCCGAGCGGCTTTGGTTTGGCACATTTTTATTGCTGGATCTTGTAAATTGGCTGTGATTGGTAGGGAGAGTTGAGACAAGTTCTGCATTCCTAATTTTGTAATTACAACTCAAATCAACAAAAGGCAAACACAAGTATATTTCCCTTTTTATCTGTTCTTCATTTATTCGTCTAATATATCTACGCATTTGCATAATTAGCAGCATATAAATGTAACTTTGGTAGAACTCTGATAACGATTGTTTGTTATTGAGTTCTTTCCACCAGCTGCCTAGTAAACGATGACCATGAATGATTGATCTGGAAGAAGAAATTTTACCTTCTTTTCTTGGCCGAATGGAAGACAATGAAGCTTCTTGTTTTCAATTTGGTCAAGAGAGCAGCTACACACATTTCGTGCTTCAATCTACTTCTAAGTCTTTAATCTTGGAAAAACACTTAAAGTGCTTTCTACAAAAAAAACACCAGTTATGTGCTTCTTGCAGAAGCATTTCAAGTGCTTTAGGACATGATAATATTTTCTCTAAAAGCGTTTTCAGTCATTTAAAAGCATATTCTAAACAAGCTCTCATTCTTTACAAATTCGTTCTTTATAAGTAAGCATGCCACAAAATGACTTTTTTTTTTTTTTTTTTTGACAAACGATATTATCTACATTAAGAAGGAGGGGGTGGACTAGCCTCACAATAAGTTAACAATAATGTGGTTCAAATTGATTAACTTGTTTAAGATTGAAAAGTGGGCTATGAGATTAGTTGAACCTCCATCACCTCGTGCTTAATTATCTTCTTAATTCACACAGAGAAAGCGAGACTTTTGACTTCAAAACGCTCGCAGTCATCTTTTCATTTTCTTCACGACAATAGAAAAGGTACATTTAATTTGTTCCAGTCAAGCAAACGATAATTGCTATCGGTCACTATCCTTGTAATATTTCAAACGAGAGTAATGATAGGGAAATTAAATTTGTAAGTAAAATTTTGAAAACTAAAAGATATGGAAGTTGATGATTGGTTTATTACTTAAACGTTGATAAACATGTTTATTCTTATTGGTGACATATCATTTAGTTTGCAAATTTAGTCTCTCTAACATTACTCTTCAAACA